AATCTCACTGTAGTATCCCCATTTTGCAGGTGAGTTATTTGAGGATCCACAATTAAATTGCCCTAGGGCACCCAGCCAACTCGCTGACCTGGGACTCTCCCAAAGGAGGGTCCAGTTATCTATCTCATCATGAACCCATCGTTTCCCGATTTGAAAGGTACCTTTATCATCTAACTCCTTCCCAACCAACCTCTTGTTTCTGGACTTCCTACGTATCTGACTGTGTTACCTTCCCTGTCTGGGCTCAAGCCCTCTGCCGAAGGTCGACTTGCTACGGGAGTTGCCGTTGAAGAGCTTCCTGTGAAGGTGCAGACATTTCAACACCTTCCTTGTGGTTTTAGCTACACTGCCACCTGGCTCATCCTGGTGCAGTCAGATTTCACTGAACCTCCACCTTCCCCGTTCTTGCTTTTTTTTAAAAAATCCTTACCCCAGGACACACTTTTTAAAAATCTATATATTTTTATTGATTTCAGAGAGGAATGGAGAGGGAGAGAGAGATAGAAACATCAATAATGAGAGAGAATCATTGATCGGCTGCCTCCTGCATGCACCACACTGGGGACTGAGTCCAAAACCAAGGCATGTGTCCTTGACCAGAATCGAACCTGGGACCCTTCCATCTGCAGGCCGACACTCTATCCACTGAGCCAAACTGGCCAGGGCGGGACACCCTTTTATTGATTTCTTTTTCTTATTGAGAGGAAAAGAGACAGAAACATCAGTGTGCAAAACATTGACTGGTTGGTTGCCTTCTGCATGCGCCAGACCTGGGATCAAACCCACAACCTAGGTGTGTGCCCTGACCAGGAGTGGAACCCGAAAACTTTTGGTGTCTGGGAGGGTGCTTCAGCCAACTGAGCCACTCGGCTAGGGCCACCTGGCTAGGGCCACCTTCCCCATTCTTTTTTTTTTTTTAAATATATTTTTATTGATTTCAGAGAGGGAGAGGGAGAGATAGAAACATCAATGATGAGAGAGAATCATCGCATGCCCCCTACTGGGGATCAAACCCACAGCCCGGGCATGTGCCCTTGACCAGAATTGAACCCGGGACCCTTCAGTACTGAGCCAAACCATTCTTAATGGCTCTTAGGCAAGTTCTGCTGCCAAAAAGTACTTCACCTGGAGGGCCCCCTCCCCGCAAGCTTCCTCCAGGCCCACTCTCCAAATGCATCCACATCATGCAAACAATTCCTTTCCCAGAACACTTACGTTTAAACATGTTCTGGGGGTACCAACTAAAGCCAGCGGGCCAGGGAAAAAGGTGGAAGTTTGCCTCTCCCTCTCCCAAGTTTTATTGAGATATAACTGGCCATTTATACAAGGCAAGATGTTAAGAACCCCTTATCATCTATCAAATATCAAAACAGAGTTCTGAACATGTGGAACCCACAGAAGGCATGAGAAGACAGGCAGGTCTCAGGTCTAAAGAGCAAGTTCTACAGCGGCTGTATTGCTTACCTCCTGTGCTTCGTGAACTCAGAGGACTCACTGTGCTCACATCACAGCCTACTCTTCAAAACCCGAAACCCCGATTCGAAAGAATATATGCACCCCTATGTTCACTGTAGCGTTATTTACAATAGCCAAGATGTGGAAACAACCCAAGAGTCCATCAGTAGATGAGTGGGTAAAAAAAGCTGCGGTACATTTATACCATGGAATAATACTCAGCCATAAATAAAGAAGGAAATCTTACCCTTTTGCAATAGCATGGGTGGACCAGGACAGCATTATGCTAAGTGAAATGAGCCAATCAGAGAAAGACAGGTACCACATCATTTCACTCATATGTAAAATCTAATGGACAAAATGAATTAACAATCAAAATGTGACACTCATAGAGAGCAGGCAGACAGTTGTGGGGGGAGGGGGAGATCCAGATGGCGGTGTGTGGAGGGAAATGAGCAAAAAATAAAGAGAGAAAAATACTCATGGACAGAAACAACAGTGTGATGATTGCCTGGAGGTGGAGGGAGGGAAGGAGGGTATATGGGCATAAATGGTGATGGACAGAAACTTGACTTGGGGTGGTGAACACACAATACAATGTACAGATGATGTGTAGAATTGTGCACCTGAAACCTGTTTTGTTTACTAGTGTCACCCCAATTAAGTCAATAAAAAGGGGGGGAAAAAGCTGAAAGCTTTTGTATATATATGTGTAATATATATACACATATTAGAGGCCCGGTGCACAAATTCATGCACAGATGGGGTCCCTCAGAGTGGCCTGCAGAGATCGGGTTTGCACCCCCAGCCTCGCAGCCCCGCCTGGCATCCCGTGTTGGCCTGGTGCCACCCCCTCACCTGCTCCACCATTCTGCCACTGTCCTGCTCTCAGCAGGGCCCATTGGGGCCAGCGGCACCTCCACTGCTGCCCACTGCCAGTGCCCCATTGCCGATGCCCACCATGTTCTGTGCCACCCCCTGGTGGTCAGTGCACATAATAGTGAGCCGTCGAACGACCACCAGAGGGGATAATTTGCATATTAGGCTTTTATTATATAGGATATATATATATATATATGGAATGGGCTTCAAAGATTAGGGCTGAGAAAATAGACACACACAGCACACATTTATGGAAACATCACAATTTTTGTGCTAGCAATCCCTCAAGTACAAATTTTACCAAGTTAATTCAAATGCAAAAAAACAAAACTATGCCACAAAGATGATCAAATTCTTTTTTAAAAAATTTTTTATTAAATTTAGAGAGGAAGGGGGTGAGGGAGGGAGAGAGAAACATCCACTTGCTGTTTCACTTCTTTATGCATTCATTGGTTGCTTCTTGTTCCCTGACTGAGGATGACTGAACCTGCAACCTGGGCATATTGGGATGATGCTCTAACCAACTGAGCTACCCAGCCAGGGCAATGATCAAAATGCTTTAACAAAATAGTTTGAGGGAATAGACATACCGTCTAAAATAGCTAATTAAACATTTCTATATTATTGTAGATATTTTAAAACAATTAGCCAGAAACGGGCTTTGCTTGGGAAAGATGTGTAAAATATGCTGGAGAGGGGGAAAAGATATTTATTTTTTTTCTTAAGTAAAATAATTACCATACATTTGAATCTAGAAAGACATAAATCACCTGTGGGTTACTATCAAGAGGGAGAAAGTGTGAAAATTGTACACTTGGGACCAAGGCATATTATTAGCTTAAATTAGGTACTTTCCATTTCAACTATCTTAAGGACCAGCTTAATCTGGCTCTGAGTCACAGTGTGGCTGCTTCTTCCTAAATTTAGAACTGAGGCCAAAGGACAGACCTTGAGGGTCAGGGGAGAGTGGAAAACATCCACTTGCAAAGGAAGTTGACATGCAGGTCAAAGGTCATCAGAACACAACTCCCAGCCCTTTGCTGGATGTCAAGGGAATATACCTCAGGATAATGTGGGGTCCACATCCACAAAGGTTCTGGGGTCTCATGCTGCTTCTTGCCATTGGGTTTGCAAAGACAAACAGCAAAAGATGGGCAACAAGGGGGCACATTACCAGTAGGTCACTAACCTGGCCTTGCCCTTTGTCTCCCTCCAATGAGCACTTTTCCCACTACCCTTGGAATCAAGGGCTGCCTATTTGACTCTCAGCCCATTCCCTCCTAAGCAAACCATAATTATGAGATGGTTAAAAATATTGTCTCTCTGCCCAGTGACTTGGGCAGGGTGGACTGAGATGTGGGGTAGTCTAGGGCGTAAGTCCTCTATAGTCATAAGCAAACACAAGCAAGAGTTCTCTAGTGAAGTTAACTATAATAAAACTTTTATGCCTTAAAAAAAGATACAGCCTGGCCAGTGTTGCTCAGTGGTTGAGTGTCCACCTATGAACAGGTCAGAGTTCGATTCCCGGTCAGAGCACAAGCCTGGGTTGCGGGCTTGATCCCGTGTGGGGCGTGCAGGAGGCAGCCAGTCAATGATTCTCTGTCATCATTGATGTTTCTTTCTCTCCCTCTCTGAAATCAATTAATAAATACCTTTTTTAAAAAAGAAAAGATATGAACTAGCAAGTAGTTGGTTATGTGCTTGAGAAGTGGGTCAAGCACAGATTTAACTGGATAAACTTCTTCATTCTAGGACCTTGAGGTCAGGAGTCACCTGGAAATGTTTGTCAAGGAAGGACTCTCAGGTTAGAGCAGAAAGGACCAGAAAAACTTAGACACATCTGGTGAGGGGAAAAATACCAAAATTTATTTTCCGACAGTCAGCATCAGCAGGTAAAACTACAAGGTTTTCTCTGTAGATCATACATTCACAAGGCATAACAGTGAGAAAGCCTCTGGCGTGTCCTCTGTAACAATATCCACTTCACAGTGTAAACAGGTTCTAGTATTGTGTTCATTTACAATTTCAGAAGGAAAGGCACAACTTGGCAAAAAAATAATAATTTTTTTTTTTTATCCTGAAGTCAGGTGCAATAACTCAGAGACCAACTTTTGATACACATTTTGATGTACATTTCCACTTTGAGGGGAAAGACTCAGAAACCAGGGTCTTTCCTTCTTCTTCCTCGTTAAACCATCAGAGCAAAGTTTCAGCATTTGCTTATTATATATGCAAGAAAGGGATTAAAAAAAAATCACAAAGTATCTTGAAGGTCCAGCCGCTCCCACCAATACATCAACTCTTAGGTTTAAGACGGGGACTGGGAACACTTTCAGCGGTCATAAAATAGGAAAAGAGAGACTAAAGCTACAAAAATAAAAAATAAATGAGGTAGATAAATTAAAGCTTTCATACCCAGGACTCGTCTGTTCCAACATTGTAACCTTCATGCAGTATTCATGGGGGAAAAGAATCTTCACAATTACTTGGCATAAGTCACATCAAAATTTTTATAAAAATTAGTATGTGAACCTCTTATCAGAAACATACCCTCCATGAGTTTCTTCAATAATGAAAGACTCATTTCTTCGCTAGAGTAGGCACTGGTGAACTAAATCAAGTCACCTTAGGTCCCCTGCTCAGGTGCCCACCTGTCCTGGTGTTCAGGAAGGCGGCATCTGGAAGCAGGGAAGACATTGGCACTCTTAGGGCTCCAACTGAACTGTATTTCAACAAGCAGCAACACACACATTGACTCCCAAGGGACTAATATCGTCCATTGGAGGGCATCCTACTTACGGTCCCAAGGTGGAAGGAATTTTGTAACTCCACACCTTAGTTAAAAATAAAAAGGAAAGTACATTCAAAAAGGAAACAAAACAAAAGATGGGTGCAGGGTTGAGGGACATACAAAGCAGGTCACCAAGGATGACAGACCTAGTCCATTTACCCGCACACAGTCCCGGAAGTATGCAGCTCCCCCTCCCCAGTTAGGCTAAGCAGTTTCTTTCCCATCGTGGTTTAGTAAGTTCCAACTTGAAACAGGGGACAATCTTTGGAAATAGTTCCTCTAGCTTGTACAAAGTCTTCATATATACAGTTTGTCTCAAGTAA